ATCCGCCATTTTCTTTTCCAAAATTTACGCGCTTTGCTTTACCACAGGACCAATTCTATATTTCATGAAATGTACCATCGGTATCGTCGGTATTACATTTGGTGAAAGGAAACCTTTACCAAGTCCATGCCACAGGAAAACCAAATCTATATTTCACCAAATGTACCAACGGTGCCATCGGTATTACGTTTGGTGAGGGAACCTTTACCAAGTCCATCCACAGGAAAACCAAATCTATATTTCACCAAATGTACCAACGGTGCCATCGGTATTACGTTTGGTGAGGGGACCTTTACCAAGTCCATCCACAGGAAAATCAAATCTATATTTCACCAAATGTACCATCGGTAGCGTCGGTATTACATTTGGTGAGGGAACCTTTACCAAGTCCATACCACAGGAAAACCAAATCTATATTTCACCAAATGTATCATCGGTAGCGTCGGTATTACTTTTGGTGAGGAGACCTTTACCAAGTCCGTACCGCAGGAAGACCAAATCTATATTTCACCAAATGTGCCAACGGTGCCATCGGTATTACATTTGGTGAAGGGGCCCCATGCCAAGTCCGCTAAGTTTTTTTAAAGTGCTTAAGCTTCAAGTACTACGTAATTCATTTATAAACGTTACGTAACAACCAACTTTGTTAATTATATGCGCATTTCTTGCATATAAATTACTTTCACCATCTGTACCGTCGGTAAAATACTTTTACCGTCGGTATCAGATCGTCTATTTTGGACAACCCTCACTAATTTACTTCTYAGCGACTTATAACTACAAGCTGCAAGTGTTTTGTCTTGGGCCGCTAGCATTCCACAATACAGTGCCTCTATATTTAATTGAGTTCTTCATGAATCTTGTGGCACAACTAGATTATTCGAAGCTCGAAGAGAATTATTAGATTCACGCTTCTGTACAACATCGAAAGAGGTCTTTCGTAATATATCATTATGTCCCCTATGTAMAAACTTGATTAAAGCTATTTTATATTTGTAAAATATGGTAAACCAGTTAGCATGTTTTGAAACACCTACTGAGCTCATATCTCTAGGTAAGTTGTATATAATCCTAGCAGCCCGACAGTGTAATCTTTCTAAAGAATAATACTAGTTATCTAAGTTACAACACCCTCCCAACACTACCAGACCAAGAACGTTTTAGTTTTCTTGGGGTTTTTTCGTCTGCCAATGCAAAACATGAAGCCATAATTTGGCTTGTAAAAAAGAAAAGCTTACAATTTGCAAGCGTTGCTAGGCATCTGAACTACCAATCATACTCTAGTATTTCGATCTTTTGAATTATGGAAAAAAGCCCTCATTCATTAGCCAATCAGCATCGAGTAATTTATCACTGTATGTGATATGAATGAATGAAGCCTTTATTTAAAAWTAAACTAAGTAAATAAAGCCAGGKTAGTCCCTTCAGAGCTAATTAAAWCTCTGCTATCCATGGGAGCCCTGGCAAATATTTACAAAAATAAATAAATACAAATAATATCAAAAGTTAATACAAAAGTTACGTCACATACATATGTATAAAATATTTTTAAAAAACATGGAAATTACATCATTCTTACATATTCAAATTCATCAACTCATTTTAAGCCAAAAATAACTGCGATCCCCGGCGATCCCCCATATGGTTCGCAAGTTATTTGGAATTTCGTGCACTCGACTACACTCGATATGAAGAAATAAAAAAAGTGAGTTGATGAGATGGCATAAAAAGATCCCCATGGAATACATTTCAAAGGATTTAACATCTTTGATTGGAAGTAATATTTCAAAGCCGACAATGAGAACTGGACGGGATTTCAAGTCCGAAGCAATTAGTTCCAGTCCTCGGCGCAGTCGAGTCCCGTCCAGTCCGGTATTGGACTGGCTTTGAAATGACTTCTCATGCTCATTATTTATTTGACTTGGAGTAACTGGAACAAAATTAATTAAGTCCTACTGAATTAATTTTGTTCCAGTTACTACAGACTGAATTCAGTCCTTTCACATGACTTTACCAGGTTTCAAGTAACATCATGTGACCCGAAAATAGCTCATTGATTGCCTGGTTTCCTCATGAATTATTAATGTATATGAGAAAAGGCATTAATTTACTATATTAAAACAACAGGGAAAACTTGTTTCTACATATGGGAAAGTGCTTTGGAAGCACTGATGAAAATGGCCTAACCAGCAGGATGCCTGTGGACAAAATGCCATTTGGGCTTATATCACATAACTTGAAGTTTTGCAGTTTGGATAATGCTGGAACACTTCAGTCCCGGGATGATTACAAAAGCTGAATGGAAACAATGTATGCCAAGTTTGGCCAGTCATGGGCAGCTCTTCACCTTGGACCTATGTGGTCGTACGTTGAAGCCACCAAAGAAAACACAAAAGTGCTCATGTTCCCATAATGGCTCTTGAGGAGTCAGGAATATGAAGCGTGTGTTCTGGAATATGATCGCCTGTCTAGACCATTGAAAGCAGTATCAATTTCTGTAATCGAAGATCAGTTCTAAGAGAGAAACTATAGTCGTGTTAAAGAACTACGCGCATGATCAATGGCTTCGGCTTTTAAATTATTTTGCAAGCTGTTCCGATTCAGATCACTTGATGATATATTTTTCGGTATTTTGGTATTAAGGTGTTTTGGCTCTGAAAGCTACTTCAAACAAATACCAGTTACATATAAGGCTGCGTTAATAATATATGACAGGGAGAGGGTGAAAATTTGAAATGTCCAGAATAATTCTCAACAACCCCACCCCACCCCCTCCTCCTTAAAGTCATACAAAAAAATACGAACCCCCTAAGCAAGGCTTGTAGCTTCTTCCAAACATTGTGCATCTCCCCCATTGTTCTGATAAAAATTTGCCCATTCCCCCTCTTTTCCATACCAAAATTTCCCCCCCCTCAATTTCACCTGCCCCACCCTCTGCCATACATTATGAACGCAACCTAAGTTTATTTGAGTTTTGATTTNCTCTGCTATCCATGGGAGCCCTGGCAAATATTTACAAAAATAAATAAATACAAATAATATCAAAAGTTAATACAAAAGTTACGTCACATACATATGTATAAAATATTTTTAAAAAACATGGAAATTACATCATTCTTACATATTCAAATTCATCAACTCATTTTAAGCCAAAAATAACTGCGATCCCCGGCGATCCCCCATATGGTTCGCAAGTTATTTGGAATTTCGTGCACTCGACTACACTCGATATGAAGAAATTAAAAAAGTGGGTTGATGAGATGGCATAAAAAGATCCCCATGGAATACATTTCAAAGGATTTAACATCTTTGATTGGAAGTAATATTTCAAAGCCGACAATGAGAACTGGACGGGATTTCAAGTCCGAAGCAATTAGTTCCAGTCCTCGGCGCAGTCGAGTCCCGTCCAGTCCGGTATTGGACTGGCTTTGAAATGACTTCTCATGCTCATTATTTATTTGACTTGGAGTAACTGGAACAAAATTAATTAAGTCCTACTGAATTAATTTTGTTCCAGTTACTACAGACTGAATTCAGTCCTTTCACATGACTTTACCAGGTTTCAAGTAACATCATGTGACCCGAAAATAGCTCATTGATTGCCTGGTTTCCTCATGAATTATTAATGTATATGAGAAAAGGCATTAATTTACTATATTAAAACAACAGGGAAAACTTGTTTCTACATATGGGAAAGTGCTTTGGAAGCACTGATGAAAATGGCCTAACCAGCAGGATGCCTGTGGACAAAATGCCATTTGGGCTTATATCACATAACTTGAAGTTTTGCAGTTTGGATAATGCTGGAACACTTCAGTCCCGGGATGATTACAAAAGCTGAATGGAAACAATGTATGCCAAGTTTGGCCAGTCATGGGCAGCTCTTCACCTTGGACCTATGTGGTCGTACGTTGAAGCCACCAAAGAAAACACAAAAGTGCTCATGTTCCCATAATGGCTCTTGAGGAGTCAGGAATATGAAGCGTGTGTTCTGGAATATGATCGCCTGTCTAGACCATTGAAAGCAGTATCAATTTCTGTAATCGAAGATCAGTTCTAAGAGAGAAACTATAGTCGTGTTAAAGAACTACGCGCATGATCAATGGCTTCGGCTTTTAAATTATTTTGCAAGCTGTTCCGATTCAGATCACTTGATGATATATTTTTCGGTATTTTGGTATTAAGGTGTTTTGGCTCTGAAAGCTACTTCAAACAAATACCAGTTACATATAAGGCTGCGTTAATAATATATGACAGGGAGAGGGTGAAAATTTGAAATGTCCAGAATAATTCTCAACAACCCCACCCCACCCCCCTCCTCCTTAAAGTCATACAAAAAAATAYGAACCCCCTAAGCAAGGCTTGTAGCTTCTTCCAAACATTGTGCATCTCCCCCATTGTTCTGATAAAAATTTGCCCATTCCCCCTCTTTTCCATACCAAAATTTCCCCCCCCTCAATTTCACCTGCCCCACCCTCTGCCATACATTATGAACGCAACCTAAGTTTATTTGAGTTTTGATTTTGTTATTAAGGCTAATAAAATAATGAAAATAAATTTTTAAAACAAGTGCATTTTTGACATTCACCGGCTTGAGATTGATCGTATTTCAACTTCTAGCTCACTCGTAAATGAAAATTTTCTTTTAGGGACTGTTTATTACTTTAAAAACATAGATTAACCAAGGGAATTATGAAGAATCAAGCAATTCTGAGAGAAATCCTGAGCAAAGGTTAGTCTGTATCGTTAGCCCTCAACCAAAACACTGTACGTATATAATAGGCTCCTAGCTAGCTAGGGATAGTGTTGATGAACGAAGTGAGATTGAAAAAGAGTGGATGTTATGCAAATCCGCGGACCATTCCTATACGGACAAGTTTTAAATATTCGTGGTTAAAGTTCTCAGTTCTCGTCGACGATTTGGAGGCGGCCGACAGGACCCTGGGGACGAGGTTGGAACCAACGAAATTTATGGTGGGTACCCTGTGGCCAAACTAATGTTAACARGAACGAACAAGGACCCATTGTTGGAATCAAGTTTTCGAGATCGACAAAGTGTATTCTTTCCCTTCAAAAAATGGGATTAGGTAGGTGAAATAGCCAGAGTATTCCATGGTCGATACATAGTCTATTTCTTGCCAAATTGCAATGGGTAATTCAAATTCAATTGAAAATCAAGTTGATTTTGTAAAGCGCYTATGTACATATCCAGATTRAACACGCGCTATATAAATACATTATTATTATTAAYTGATTTTAGCTAACCGACAATTATACTAACTGACAATGATTACTGAAGAGCACTGCTCGTATACTGTATGCATGGCTCATATGGATTAATTTTGTAAGCTTACGAAATKTTGTGTTCTGTACTTGTTTTACAGGGCAATCAGCCAACGCTTCAATGCAACGTAAGTCATTAAAATCTTTAGTACCATACGATATATTTTTCATTCACGATAAAGTGAAAATATATATAAACTATTGAACGGCGGAATCTACCGCTATAAGAAAAGCGAGGTGTTTTGTAAYCACACTATGATAAGCTATAAGTTTAAATTTCAGGCCAACTTCTTAGATGCCTTTGCAGTTGCAATTGTTTTTCGTATCTGATTCTGTAGACAGTTGCAAGTCAGTATCAACACAGAACCAAACTAAAAATGTCCTGACAAAACTTTAAAAAGGCGTACAGAAATTGCTTTAAATTAGCTGCATATCACTACACTAAAGCGTATCGATAATTTACTGTTAGAAAATCCAAAGACTTTGAATATTAGCCAAGTTTCTTCGTGGATGATAAAAGGACTCGTTTCTTGAAAACCATGTAGTTTTTCTTGGAAGTCACGCCTCTCTACACATGCTCATATACAAACTTTACGATCACGTTTCATATATAGAGGTCGACGATGTTCTAACCTTTTTCACAAGAATCCTTTAATAATTTAGTTAAATACTCCGTAAAAAATTGGAATAAATGAAAATAAAATAAGCTTTTAAGTTGTGATGTATTTCCGCTTCCAAATGCTCACCAAAAAATCCGCTAAAATAAAGCGATAAATGGTTTACTCGCGAATGATTTGACTTGCATTTGAAACAATAATATAGTAGAACTCTAGACAACAAATTCTGTGACCACGAAAAAGTAATAAGCATTGTTAAAACTTTACTAKAACTTATTTTTGTTTTGGACCCAGAAGTCGTTTTTCCGTACGATTGAAGTCATTATATAAAACTTCCATAAAATAGCAACAACTTTGACAAAACACAGAGTTACGTGTGTCATCGCTTTTTTAAGATTTATTTTTGAATAGCTCAAATCAAATATTTTCTTTTTTAGTTGAGGCTTCGAGATACATATCTTCACCGGATGGTAAGAAA